TTTCTGTGTGCGCTGAGGTATAATCCAGGTTATTGTGTAGTAACGTTATCATTTCGAAACTGGCGGTGTGTTAAACAAAATCCCTTTCCAACTTGAAGGTCCATAGGGCAAGTGAAGTAGAGTTCACCTATTTTTGTAACCTCGACAAATGAGGGGAGAATGTAACAAGCTGCCATTACTTTCACTAACGTGACTCAGAGCGTTGTGCGGTGCAGTAACCGGATTCGAACTCAAGACTTTCGGGTTAGCAGTAGAATGCTCTATAAAAATAAAAAAATAAAATAATATTTTTTTAGACCTTGCGATCCATAGAGTAAATGAAGTATATTTCATAGGTTTCTTGACCTCGGCATATGAAAGGAAGGTGTGGTCAGTGTTGCGAAGCAAACTTTGAGGACAGAGTCGACGTTGGAGATAATTACCACGGAGTCCTTATACGAATTCCTTGTTCATTTATTGCGCTTGAAAAGTACATAACCTTGACGATGACAATACTGACGATAACTAAACTAAACTTGCAGGATGACTAAACGATACGACAACGACAGGATTAATGATTAACCAGAGGCGTAGCGACCCTTCCCGGCGCCCGGGGACAAACTTTCAATTTGGCGCCCCCCTCGGGAGCAAACTTTTGATTTGCGCCCCCCCCCCCCCCTTCAAACTTTCGATTTGCACCACCCTCTCCTCAAACTATTTATAATGCTAAAATGCAGATAAATGACATTTTAATTTGCTTTTACAACCTATTTTGGCGCCCCCGATGGTCGGTGCTCGGGGACATATGTACCCCACTGCCCCCCCCCCCCCCTTATCGCTACGCCTCTGTGATTAACACAACTGCCTCTTCTAAACTTTCCATGTCTTTATATACCCCCTTAATCCCTAATTCCTACCATATATGTCACTTAACTCCCAATGGTTACTATGCTACATAAGCGTGCAATTCATGACGTTTCTTATAAAAATGAACACAACAAAACAGACTTAAAACAGACAAAAATAGCTTAAGGTTAATAAAGGTAAACAAAAGGTAAGCTACGTTAGACCTTATTTTAATGTTTACTTCCCCATATTATAATTTATCTAACCCATTCATAACACTCAGCACTTTGCCCAGCAGCCTTTACTTTCCCTAAAGTTATTCAGGTTCCCATCAGAGCTGGGTGGACTGACTTGAACCCGGATTCGAATTCGAGACTTTCGGGTTACCAGCCTAGCGTGAGCGCTCTATAGGGCAGATGAATTCGTATTCACAACGTGTAGTAATTAGACTTGTCACCAAACATTGAAGGAACAATTTATAGTTAAATGTTGTGGACGTCTAATTTATAAACATATTACTTTGTTCAAGTGAAACTTAAAATAATTTAGGTCATTATGTTACTGATTGTCTTTTTTGTGTAATCTTTAACCACACTGTTGTGTGCTGTCGAAGACCTCGGGTCGAAACGTCCATTTTCATTGTAATTGTAATTGTCTTGAATTTGTGAGGATACTAACCCTTTTATTTGAATTAATTTTTTTTAATATGTTACCCATGGTTAACGTGGTTAAGTTTGGTTTAAAACAACGAACCGCAACTCATGCGCGCCAACTGTTGTGTTACATCCCTTTGGTCCCATCTTGCAAGTCCCCACCGGGTGGTTCATGGTGAACTGTCTCAGCTTGATCATGCACTCACAGTAAAAAAACAACTGGTATGATTCGAACCTAAACCGTACACACTGCATGTCTGGTCTCCTCCGTCGGTGTGGCCCCCACATTTTTCATTATTTGTGTTGATGACTTTCTCACAATCTGCCACACCTACCAACATAACGGCAGGATAGGTGAAGTAGATTTGCTTGTTACTTTATCTTATAATTATAACGTTAAATGAACAATCCCAGTATAGAATCGTGTTTTTACTTTTTTTTATATGTTAGGTTACTGGCAGTAAGTTATAAAATAATATCACCTTCTAATTTCAACGCTTATCTTATCTCTAGCCAAATCCTAACCACCTAACCGAACCTCTAAATCTGACCCTTACGCTAAACCATGTATTGCAATACAATTAAAAACCTGCCACCCCTAACTTACGGAGAGTCCATTTTCCGAGCACGTATCTTAACATATGTTACACCGGCCTGACGTGGCATTTAGAGTTATGCTCTATATTTAGAACTCACCTTTAATTAAAATGTCAATATCGCTGTGTTGATCAAGGTAATAAGCGTTGATGAGTGGATAGGTGAAAGTATCGGTGGAGTTCAGGGTTATCTTTCCTTCGCTTTCATGTCAGTTAGCTATAGATAGGAGTACACACTGTCCATTCCTTTCCCTGTCCCTCTTTTTCATCTGTTGTTTAACCTGTTTAATAGCTAGATAAAATACAAACTACCTTAAGGTCCGTGGGGAAGGTGAAGTAGTCAACCTGTTTCTGTGACTTTGGCATATGAAGGGATAGTGCGTTCAGCACTATGCACAGACGTCTTTACTTTCCCTAACGAGATCCAGGTACAAATCGTAGCTGTGAACTAAGGGACATCGTATAGACTTCGGCCCGGGACATGAACTCGAGACTTTCGACTTAGCAGTGAAACGCTCTACCATTCGACCACACCGTCCCTTAGGTTCGAAATATAGAACAAAAGTGTTTGTAACCAAATTCGGGATTGTATGTAACAAAAGGTGGGATTGTATGTAACAAAAGGTGGGCTTGTATGTAACAAAAGGGGGGATTGTATGTAACTAAAGGTGGGATTGTGTGTAACAAGAGGTGGGGTTGTATGTAACAAAAGTGGGGTTGTATGTAACTAAAGGTGGGGTTGTATGTAAGAAGAGGTGGGATTGTATGTAACAAGAGGTGGGGTTGTATGTAACAAAAGGTGGGATTGTATGTAATTAAAGGTGGGATTGTGTGTAACAAGAGGTGGGGTTGTATGTAACAAAAGTGGGGTTGTATGTAACTAAAGGTGGGGTTGTATGTAAGAAGTGGTGGGATTGTATGTAACTAAAGGTGGGATTGTATGTAACAAGAGGTGGGGTTGTATGCAACAAAAGGTGGGGTTGTATGTAACAAAAGTTGGGATTGTATGTAACTAAAGGTGGGGTTGTATGTAACAAAAGGTGGGGTTGTATGTAACAAGAGGTGGGGTTGTATATAACAAGAGGTGGGGTTGTATGTAACAAGAGGTGGGTTTATATGTAACAAGAGGTGGGGTTGTATTTAACAAAAGGTGGGGTTGTACGTAACAATAGGCGGGATTGTATGTAACAAGAGGTGGGGTTGTGTGTAACAAGAGGTGGGGTTGTATGTAACAAGAGGTGGGGTTGTATGTGACAAGAGGTGGGGTTGTATGTGACAAGAGGTATGAGTGAGAAGAGGTGGGGTTGTATATAACAAAAGGTGGGGTTGTATGTAACAAAAGGTGGGGTTGTATGTAACAAGAGGTGGGGTTGTATGTGACAAGTTGTGGGGTTGTATGTGACAAGAGGTATGAGTGAGAAGAGGTGGGGTTGTATATAACAAAAGGTGGGGTTGTATGTAACAAGAGGTGGGGTTGTATGTAACAAGAGGTGGGGTTGTATGTAACAAGAGGTGGGGTTGTATGTAACAAGAGGTATGGGTGAGAAGAGGTGGGGTTGTGTATAACAAAAGGTGGGGTTGTATGTAACAAAAGGTGGGATTGTATGTAACTAAAGGTGGGATTGTATGTAACAAGAGGTGTTGTTGTATGTAACAAAAGGTGAGTTGTATGTAACTAAAGGTGGGGTTGTATGTAAGAAGATGTAGGATTGTATGTGACAAGAGTTGGGGTTGTATGTAACAAAAGGTGGGATTGTGTGTAACAAGAGGAGTGGATGAGAAGAGGTTGGGTTGTATGTAACAAGAGGTGGGGTTGTATGTAACAAGAGGTATGGGTGAGAAGAGGTGGGGTTGTATATAACAAAATGTGGGGTTGTATGTAACAAAAGGTGGTATTGTATGTAACAAGAGATGGGGTTGTATGTAACAAGAGATGGGATTGTATGTAACAAAAGGTGGGGTTGTATGTAACAAAAGGTGGGATTGTATGTAACAAAAGGTGGGGTTGTATGTAAAAAAAAGTGGGGTTGTATGTAACAAGAGATGAGGTTATATGTAACAAAAGGAGGGGTTGTATGTAACAAGAGGTTGGGTTGTATGTAACAAGAGGTGGGGTTGTATGTAACAAGAGGTATGGGTGGGAAGAGGTGGGGTTTTATGTAACAAAAGGTGGGGTTGTATGTACAAGAGGTGGGGTTGTATGTAACAAGAGGTGGGGTTGAATGTAACAAGAGGTGGGGTTGTGAGAAATAAAAAGCGGGGTTGTATGAAAAAATTTAAATTTTTGAAAAGATCGTTATTAATTGAGTATTGCTGACCCCCCCCTCTCTCTCTCTCTCTTTCTCTCTATCTCTGTCTCAGTGTGTGTGTGTGTGTGTGTGTGAGAGAGAGAGAGAGAGAGAATACTTGAGTGTATGTGCACGAATATGTAGCATAATAAAAATCTCAGTGCCCATTTGTATGTCGGCTCAAAGGGATTCTACCCTAACATAATTTTATCTGTAGTGTGTGTATTTTTGCGTGTGTCAGTATGTCAGCTTGTTTGCTTGCGTGTGGGAGTACATATTTTATACTTAAAAAAAAAAAATAAAAGCTCATTTTGAGTAACCATTCAAACTGTACATCACAAAATAAAAAAACATATAGACTCCCTGCAATAGTACTTAAATATTTCCATCTGCGCATCGCCATCGTTCGTCACTTTTTCAAAAGGATAAAATCTCGCACACCTTGTGGTATGTTACATATTACATTTGAGATAAACTGTGTGTGACACCTGTAGCGCAATACAATACCCTCTTTTTTTTGAATAGTTTAATTAAACTTTATTGAGCTGTGAAACGAGTTGGATACACATATTTATAATCAAAAGGCCACAACTCAACCTTCTGCAGTCCTCAACTCTCCCCACCCTCTTATACACCAACACATGTAACTGGCCTCTCAGTTACGAGCAACTTGGGTCTTTACTTTAATCAGTTGGTGAGTTGGTACAGGAGGAAAACTGAGCAAAATGAAATATTTTGTTATTTTCTTGCTCCTTGCTGTGTTACAACTTGGCAACGCTTTCGTCATCGATCAACGTGGTGAGTTATTTGTTACTGGTGTTGTATATATATATATATATATATATATATATATATATATATATATATATATATATATATATATATATATATAGATATATATATATATAGATATATATATATATATATATATATATATATATATATATATATATATATATATATATATATATATATATATATATATATATGGTGTGTGTGTGCGTGTGCGTGCGTGTGCGTGTATATATATAAGTGTATATATATATATATATATATATATATATATATATATATATATATATATATATATATATATATATATATATGTATATGTTTGTGTGAGTCGGTTTTGGTCACTAATTTATTTAAGAGTTCTTATGAATGACCGAGGCTTTATCAAATAAATCAAGTTTGTTTTCTTTGGTCATTTTCGTATTTTCAGTGTATTTAAAAGCATATTATTATAATGGTTTTGATGTTAGTTCTATTAGAAATAGTAATTAGAATTGGTTAGTATTAGTATAAGAGTTGTTTTTAGGTAAGATTTGAATCATACTTCTTTTGAAAACCTAAGAAAAGCTAGACATAATCCTTTAACTTCAAATCTGACTATCGCGACGGGCGACCAAAAAGGGGGAAAATAGCCTATCGGCTACCAGGGGCTAAAAACTGACCACGACTTACCACCGCTTGCGATTGTAGATGTTATTAAAAATTAAAACCTATACCCCTATCTAAAGCTATACCCATATCAAAGCCTATTCTTATAGCCATAGCCATAGCCATAGCCATAGCCATAGCCATAGCCATAGCCATAGCCATATCCATAGCCATAGCCATAGCCATAGCCATAGCCATAGCCATAGCCATAGCCATAGCCATAGCCATAGCCATAGCCATAGCCAAAGCCATAGCCATAGCCATAGCCATAGCCATAGCCATAGCCATAGCCATAGCCATAGCCATAGCCATAGCCATAGCCATAGCCATAGCCATAGCCATAGCCATAGCCATAGCCATAGCCATAGCCATAGCCATAGCCATAGCCATAGCCATAGCCATAGCCATAGCCATAGCCATAGCCATCTAAACATATACCTATATCTAAAACAATAGCTATACCTGTACGTAAATATATACAAAATCCTATACAGGTCACCACTTTTGATGCATTTATGGTTGTTGGATAAAAGCGTAATGGGGCAGAAACAATTACCATTCTTTTTTTTTTAAATACACAACATTTCAAACCTTTATTGTGCGTGTGCTATTACATGTAGGTGTAGGCGCAAGTGTAAATGTGTGTTTAAGTGTCTTTTTTAATTGTTTAAACATACCATTCTGCTTGTAATATTTTTTTATTGTAGACGTTTCATCTGAGACTAAAGGTCGCAAAAAAAGGTACATAGTCGTAATATAAATGCTGAAATCATTGTATGAGTTAAATCGTTAATTATTATTTAATGTTAAAATCAAATTTACTGTTTGTAGCATAAGTGATTAATGTAATTTTGTTATAAAGTAACCTGAAATTTGATAGGCGTAGATAATGTTATTAGTTTAACTTAAAAAACAACAAAGTTTATTGTAATTCACATGCAAACTGATCAGATTCTTTAATTTTATTTAGATGTGCAGAAAGAAATCAATTTTGTGGTTTTTACAAAGATTGTTGTAGGGGTTTTTGCGATGGGTAAAAAACTACTTATTTTTTTTTAGTGTGAAAAATCCTTAAAACAGACATATCTATACTTTTTACATGCTTTTACTTAACTCGTAGCGTTCGTTTGTTTGTTTAATTAGGTTTGTTACAAATCTTGTAACTCAATTTTGACCTTTTTCTAATGCACCAATTTCGTTAAAAAATTTCCAGATATCTTAGTATTCAAATGACATTGCATGAATACTTTTATTTTTAAACTAGTCAGACTCTAGATTAGTCATTAAATTATAAATATTTACTAAAATCAAAAATAAAAGAAAATAACTTGATAGAGCTGTGGTCAGCGCCTACTGTACGGTCGCGGTTGGTTGCCTAATCGTTGACAATATACTAGTACGCCTTAAAGGCGTACATGTACACGTACACGTATGAACAAGCACAGGCACATGTGCATACGCATAATTACACGATTACATTTATACTGACAGATACACATTCATATGTATGTGTATGTTGATTGAATTTTTAAAAAATGCAAATTACTGTCTAAAGAAGCAAAATATATGTATTTCATAAATAATTATTTTATTTCGTATTATCTAATAGGACTCGATCTCAGTGCACCGTAAGTAATTTAATGTTCACATAAAGATCGGATAAATGGACTGATGGATAGCTCGTCGCACGAGGATGGGATAGACGATAAGATAGACGGATAAATAAACAGATGTACGGACGGATGAATTGACGGATGGATGGACGGACAAATGGAAGGATAGATGGACCAACGGACGAACGGACGTTCAGACGGACGGACATTCGGACGGACGGATGAACGGTTGGACGGATGAACGGATGGACGGACAAATGGAAGGACGGGCGGATGGAATGGATGGATGGATGGATGGATGGATGGATGGATGGATGGATGGATGGATGGATGGATGGATGGATGGATGGATGGATGGATGGGTGGGTGGGTGGGTGGGTGGGTGGGTGGGTGGGTGGGTGGGTGGGTGGGTGGGTGGGTGGGTGGGTGGGTGGATGGATGGATGGATGGATGGATGGATGGATGGATGGATGGATGGATGGATGGATGGATGGATGGATGGATGGATGGATGGATGGATGGATGGATGGATGGATGGATGGATGGATGGATGGATGGATGGATGGATGGATGGATGGATGGATGGATGGATGGATGGATGGATGGATGGATGGATGGATGGATGGATGGATGGATGGATGGATGGATGGATGGATGGATGGATGGATGGATGGATGGATGGATGGATGGATGGATGGATGGATGGATGGATGGATGGATGGATGGATGGATGGATGGATGGATGGATGGATGGATGGATGGATGGATGGATGGATGGATGGATGGATGGATGGATGGATGGATGGATGGATGGATGGATGGATGGATGGATGGATGGATGGATGGATGGATGGATGGATGGATGGATGGATGGATGGATGGATGGATGGATGGATGGATCTGTAACATGTAAATATATTTGTTAAAATTTGTTTTTCTTGAAAAGGGCTAGACCTTCACATTTTTAAACCTTCCTTCTGAAGTGACTGTTGGAAAGTTAATTATCTGAATGCTGCATCAAAAGAATTTGAACATATGTATGTTTTATTTCATTCTATTTGGAATTAAAGTATTGGGCAGATCTTGTAATGATTTTTTTTTATTGAGACCAGAAGAAGTAAGATAATATGTACAAATCTGAATGAATTTAAAATACCAAAGTTACACAAATTATTTTTACTTTTCTTTTACATTTTAATTCTATATAAATAGAGTTCAAAAGTCGCAATAAATTCTTGGTAAATTTTAAATTTTTACTGTCTCGTATATAGATCTACAGAGTATAGAGAAAGTATTGTAATCGTGCAACAAAATAAACCGGTAGTGATCTCCCCTAAACTTTCTCGAATATTCTTATATAAAACAACAGGGGATGGTAACTGGGGATATAGTTATGATTTTTAATCCATTTTAAATACTTAAACTTTTAAAAATAGAATAGAATCTCATAAAAAAAACATTGCGCACCAAGCAAACGCCGAATAAAAACGCGTATAATAGTGCGCAATATTATTAGTACTTTAAAAATTTACATTAGTTTTTTGAGAAATCGGAAGTAGCGTAAATTACTACTTCCAGTCAACGGAAATTACTCAAAATTTAACAGAAGGTAGAGAATTAGATCTTTTACTTACATGTGAAATTTCATTTATCTATCTGAAATAGTACTCAAGTTATAGGCTTTTGAAAAATTCAAAGTAGGAAAAGTACCACTTCCGGTTATCGGAAATCGCTCAAAAGTTGATACGGATCTACGATTTTGATAAAATACTTATATATGAAATTTCATCAACCTAGCTGTAACGGTACTCAAGTTATCGTGTTTACACACGGACAGACACACACACAGACACACACACACACAGACATAAGGACAAGATTGCAAAATTATGTTTTTCCGTATCAGTGAGGTGTAAAACGTCGAGATTTGTAAAAATCTCGATTTTTTTTTTTGCACGATTACAATACTTTCTCTATACTACGTATATACGAGAAAGTAAAAAAATCGAGATTTTGGGAAATCTCGACGTTTTACACCTCTCTGGGTCGGAAAAACATAATTTTGCAATTTTGTTGGAATGTCAGTGTGTGTGTGTGGGGGGGGGGGGTTATGTATGTGTGTCTCTAAACACGATAACTTGAGTACTGTTACAGCTAGGTTGATGAAATTTCATATATAAGTATTTTATCAAATTTGTAGATCCGTATCAGCTTTTCAGCGATTTTCGATAACCGAAGTAGAATTTTTTCTACTTTGAGTTTTTCAAAAGCCTATAACTTGATTACTATTTCAGATAGATAAATTAAACTTCAAATATAAGTAAAAGATATAATTCTCTGCTTTCTATCAAATTTTGAGTAATTTACGTTGACCGGAAGTAGTAATTTACGCTACTTTCGATTTCTAAAAAAACGCATGTACATTTATAAAGTACTAATAATATCACGCACTATTATGCACATTTTGTTTGGCGTTCACTTGGTGTGCAATTATTTTTTCTGTGAGATTCTATTCTATTTAAAAAAGTTTAAGTAATTAAAAATGGATTAAAAATATTGTCTATATACCGAGTTGCCATCCCTCGTAGTGTTACATAAGAATATTCGAGAAAGTTTAGGGGAGATCACTCCCGGTTTATTTGACATTTTATTAAAGATTTTCAGATTTCATTTAATTAAAAAATTACATAAAAACATTTTAATAAGATGCTTGTATGTAATAAATCACAAAATATGTGTTGGATACCTTTACTATTATTAAGGAAGGGATCCTTGCTTTTATGTAGTAATTAAAATGGTAGTGTATTCTTATATATTTAAAGAAAATCATTATTGATTCATTTTTAGTGTAATAATACATAAAAGCTTGTTATTAAAATGTTTTTATGCTACTTTTTTCAATACTTTAATTTTTTTTATTTACAACAGAGTTACATAACTAAAAACTATTGCACAACAAATGAACATGATAATGCACGTATAATAGCGCGGAAAGAATAGTACAAGTCTGCCTACTAGTTTCAGAAAATTTTAATCCTAGAAAAAAAGGATCTTTAACTGCCTCTTAGAGCCTGTATGATTGAGTTTAAGCGTTCAGTTGTAGGATCTAGATCTTGAAGTATGATCTATTGTGCAGATGTAGTAGTTCATCTGTTTCTTTGACATCGGCACAAATTGTCAGTGTATTCAGTGCACAAACATATATACTTTTACTAAATTTAGTTATGGAACCAAACTCGAAACCTTTAGGTTAGTATTTGTGTGCTCAAACACACCGCACCATTTTATATCTGTATATGGGCCAGATAAACATTTAGAAGTCAACACACTTTAAAATTTATGAGATACTAGTTAATGAAACTTCACCCCGATAAAACCAAGTCAATGTTTATTACAACTCATCAGAAACGCCTTCGTCTTCCATCCACCGAACTACGCATTACTATAGACAATACAAACATTGAACAGGTTGATAGTTACAAATGCCTAGGATTGGTTATAGATCACAACCTCACTTGGTCCGATCATATTCATTTTCTAAGAATGTCCTTATTAAAGACAACTTTTCAATTAGCAAGGATAAAGAACTTTCTCGACTATAGGAGCAGGCTAGTTTTTTATGACGCTTTTATTCAATCTAGGTCGGATTATGCTTCTGTAGTGTGGAGCGGCAGCTTTGTAACTAAGCAGCGTCCTCTTCTATCCAGAGTTTCTTCCAGGCATCTCTTCGGGGGGGCTCCGCCCCCCCCCCCCCCCGAAAATTTTTTACCGCCCCCCCCCCCGAACGAAATGAAATTCATATAATTTATATAGAAAATATATACTTTTAACAGTGTCCGCCCCCCCCCCCCCGAAGAAAGTCTACCGCCCCCCCCCCCCCGAAAATTTCAAGTGCCCCCCCGGAGAAAAAAGTCTGGAAGAAACACTGCTTCTATCTTTATAAAAACGGGCTATAAAATTGGTTACTGGCTTGTCTAGTAGTCTGGATTCTTTTCTTACAACTAAAATACTTCCATTAAATAAAAAGATAATATATACTAAATCAATGTTCTTATATAAAATATTCCACGAAACAGCCCCCTCTTACTTATCAGACCTATTTTCTTTTAACATAATTTTAAATCATCGTCTTAATTTACCATTCCCATATACAACTTTTTTCCAAAAACATAGCTTCGCCTACTCTGGTTCTAATTTGTGGAACAATCTTCCTAATAAAATAAAGCTATCTAGACCTGAAAATATATTCAAATCTAAACTAAAACTACAATTATTTAATGACCTCTCTAACGGACTCATTGTAACATTTCTCATTCATTTATTATATTCTCTTTTTTATCTCATTTTGTTTTATAACTATGTAACATTAATTCTTTATTCCACATTTTTAGTGCTATGTTACTGCTATATGTTATTGAATTGTTTTATTTGTTTAAACGGCCAATGTGAAAAAGGCCTTCGTGCCTACAATTGTAACCGTTTTTTGAATAAATTTTAATAAATTTTAATAAATTAAATTTGAACAAAAAATCAACGCCCTAGGTATTAAGTATTTGATTTAACGCTGTGTGAATGATGTGTAAATAGTTCTGTAGTTGAGCTTGCTTTCTTTTAACCGTCCTTAGGTCAGGTTAAGTAGAGTTCACCTTTTTTTAGTTAACTCGGCATACGAGCGGATGGTGCAGCCAGCACTATGTTCAGCCAATTTTGATTTGCCTTACGTAAGTTAGGTACCCATAACAGCTGGGTGGTTTAAAAGACTTCCAACGGATCCAAACACAAGACTAACGGGTTAGCAGTCGAAAGCTGTGCAAAATTATTCTGAGCCGAAATAATTCAACAAATTAAAATTAAATGTAACACTTGGTGTTGCGATAAGTGTAGCACTTAGTGTAGCATTTAGTGTAGCACTTTGGTTTCTCGCAGCAGTGAAGTGCTACAGGAACTGGTGACGTGGAACAGGACGCAGACACTAGTGTCTACGGATAAAACCGGTTTGTCGAGTTTCTTCAGACAACAACACGACGAAAAAAGTAGTAACAATAAGTATCTGACAGAATAAGTAGTTTATTAACACCAAAGAAATTCAAGAACATCTAAAGGTTTACGTTCATCACGTGTTAGAGGATTTATAGGTGTAAAACAATACGATTAATATATGACGAGAATACACTAATAACAAATACCATTTACTACAATTATCTACGTTTACATGCGTTACACTTAAAAATTTAATAGTATAGAAATAATTTTTCAGAAAATAACATTGTTATTTTTTCTCGGGTGACGACTAGGTTTAAAATACTTTCAAAATTGTCATAGGGCAATTTATCAAAACCTGGTGGACGACAGCTCAAGCATGATGGTCCACATTTCAGGCATGATGGTCCACAGTTCAGGCATGATGGACCACAGTTCAGGCATGATGGACCACAGTTCAGGCATGATGGACCACAGTTCAGGCATGATGGACCACAGTTCAGGCATGATGGACCACAGTTCAAACCGGACGGCTTGTTGCAAATTATTTAAAGTTTTTGTTATCGGTCTTCTTATCCATTATATGATGCATTATCCAGTCATTTAACTAATATGTATAATTGTATCGGATTTATTACAATCTGTTGGTGGGCTCATGTCAATAGTTACAGTTAAGTGTCTAGCCTTAAGCATCAATGTGTAGTTAATGCTTATTGCTTTTTACATAGCATTAGTTTGAAAAATCTCACTCGGAATTCTATGATCAGTATTAAATACATGAAGAAATTTGAAGAATGTTTGATGGCAATACAAATACGTACTATGCTTAAAAGTATGTTCATATCTGAGTACTCCATCAATTGTAATAAATCAACAAAAACAAGGAGAACATGGGGCAAGTAGAGTATCGTATACATGATGAGAACACATATCAATGTGTAAGTTAACTTCCTTTCCAATTGTTTTCCTCTTCTAAATACACAGTCATTGTAAAGCCATTCTTTTTTTTTTCTTAGTATACAAAGTTTACTAACAAAAGTAATGGTAAAAAGGAGAGAAAAAATAAATGGAACTAACCTGGAGATAAGAAAGTGAATCAAGTA